ATCCCTTCTTAAGCAGCAGTTACTTAATACTTCAAGCAAAGAGAGAGAGGTGAGAATTCTTATCACTATTATTTTTCTCTAGCAAATTTACTATGTTTGCTCATTTTAGAGAATACAGATAATTCCTTCCACCAAAAACATACAATTTTAAAACTTTCTTGTAAACATGTCACTAGAAATAAATGTTATTCAAAACATGCTTTCGAGCGTATATGGAAAGAGTGGATGGGGATGGTGTACTTTTTCTTCCAGACACATTTGTACATTTTGAAACTAGTTTTTTCACTTAATGTATGTCCTTAATATCATAAAAATCTTTCTGTGTCATGGTTTTTTCAGCATTCAAAGTTATTACTTAGAATTCCATTTCTTGATTGAAATCAGTTTTTATTTTGAATAGTTACATTGTTTATAGTTTTTCATAGTAACACCATAAGCACCGTCTTTAACATGCTTATAGCTAAATCATTTTTACTTTCTCAGTTATTGCTGAGTGAAATACATGTTTAAAATGAATTCTTAAGTATTTAAATTACTTTAGTACGTTCTCTTACCTTTCTTGGGCCCCTTCACTGCAATCGTCCTGTTACTAACCATTGCTCTTTATATCATCCCATTTTTGTCCTCATTTATTCAAGAAAAGATAAAAAAGTGTCAGTTGCAGTTTCTACCACTGCCAAACTCTCTCCCAGTGTACCCCAAACCTACACAGTCCTACCTAAATCCGACTTATCCCACTGTTCAACTATGACCCTGTTCAGCCAGCAGCTTCTTTCCTTTTTAAGGCTGAGTAATAATCCATTTTGTGTGTATATACCACATTTTGTTTATCTCTTTATCCTTTGGTGAATGCTTGTATTGCTTTGATCTCTTGGCTATTGTGAATAATGTGGCTGTGAACATAGATGTGTAAATATGTATCTCTTGTCTATTGTGAATAATGTGGCTATGAACATAAGTGTGTAAATAGTATCTCTTCAGTTTCTACATCAACTCTTTTGGATATATACTCAGAAATGGAGTTGCTGGATCATTTTTAATTTTTAATTTTTTTGCCGTACTGGTTTTTATAGTGGTCACATCATTTAACATTCCTGCCAACAGCATACAAGGGTTCTGGTTTCTCTGCACATTTGTCAGCACTTATTATTACTTTATGTTTTTTGGTAGTAGTCCTCTTAATGAATGTGAGGTTTATTTTGTTTTTTGAATGTGAGGTTTTATTAGACTGGATTTTTAAATGTTTCAGACCTTTTTAGGAAGAATAAATAATTAACAAAAGTTGAGACAACTCCAGTGTCCATTATCTGATGGATACATAGAATATAGTACATTCATACAGTGGAATATAGGCAATAAAAAGCATGTACTGATACATGCTGCAAGATGGATAGGTCTTGAAAACATTGTGATAAATGAAAAAAACTAGCCACAAAGGCCGTATAATATATCATTCCATTTATATAATATAAAATATTCAGAGTGGATAAATGTGTAGAGGCAGAAAGTAAATCAGTGGTTGCTAGAGGCCCAGGGCAGGGTAGGGAGGGCCAATGGGGATGAATGGAGAGTGACAGCTAGGGGTAGGGGGTTTAAGTATAGGAAGATGTGTATGTACTATGTTAAAAAAAAAATTAGGAGATAAACCAGGTCTTTTCATCTTGTGTTTAAAGATAGAGTATGTACAGTCAAACACTTTGTATAAGTTTTGAAATTACAGGGGAAAGAAATTTTTAGAACATAGTTGAGAGGAAAACAAGCTTTAGAAAAAAGTTTAATATACATGTCACTTTTTCTCAGTGGGAGATTTTGTAACATTAGTTTTAAGAATGTAACGTATAACACATATAATCTAGTTGCTTTTAAAAGTCATAATTTTTTAAAAAGATGTATGGTTTATTCACAAAATAATTGCAAATTTTCTAATTGAAATTATTAATCATAGGATTTAGAAATGAATAGTGCTTGAAAATTCATGCTTTTTTCTCCCTTAGTAGTGTGCAAATACTTCCAAATGTTAGAAGTTAATCACTATTTGGTAGAAGAAGAAAAAAATCTAATTCAGTTGCTAACTTCATCATAAACATAAGTCTAGTCATGTTGTTTGCCGAGATGTAATATTAAAGAAACCTGAGTTACAATACTTAGGTTACCTGATTTTTTTCTGCAGAATGTCAGGTGAGCATCAATTCTGTTGTCTTATTTAGGTTTTGAAAATACATTATTGATAGTTCATTGACAGGAACCTGTAGAATACTAACATAGTTTTCAAAGTGGCAGAGCCATAGGAGGTGGTTTTCTCCTTAAAAAACCCCGAAGTTTAGATTTCCTCTGTCCTGAACTTTCTGAACAAAGGAGACAATTACTTATTTTTCATACTCACTAGAGTAAGTGGGGAGGCCTGTACTTTTCTATTGTTTGCATAAGACCTTGTCTTAATGTTCAGTGCAACTGTACCTTCCTTTAGCTTACGAGTAAGGTGAGAGAAAAGCTGCCCGTGTTCAAACGAGGCTCAGAAAAAAGTCATAGCCCACCTACTTATATTCTACCAGACCCAAATTTTGTTTTTGTATGTTAGAATTGTATGGATGTTTAAAAGTAGAAACTTGGTTTAGGGGAAGAAAAATTCTATTTGAATATCATAGAGTTCCTCTCTCTGCTTAATCCTCCTATGAATTAACAATTTTCAGCTCTTTACTACTTTTCAAGCATGTTTGTAATGTTGAAGTTGGGTAACAGGATCTTTCAGTGCCTTGTTTAGAAGATCATGTTACTTTTAATTCTTTATGTTTGCAGAAAGGATCTTTTACTACTTAAGAGATGTAGCATCTTCTGGTCCCCAAAGGAGCTCTTGTTCATGGTACTGCTGGGGACATGTTTGTGGTTCCTTGGGGGCAGCATCAAAGACTCCCCACAGCAGCTGTATCAACAGAAACGTGCTTGTGTATTATTGTGATTAAAAAGTACTTTGAAGATCGAGCATTTTGCCACAAAATACTAGCTTTGTTGTCTGGAATAGTAAGGATTTGGCAAAGTTACTTCTAAAAGAAAAATGGTGTTTTCAGTTCCTCTTTTCATTTGCACTTGGGACCGTTTAAATATACGGTATTTATTCAACAAGAATGCCATTAAACTTTGTTCATTTCGTGGTTACAAACAGTCCGTCGAATTCTAACAAGCTCTCTTATTAGATTAGACAACATAAACCCCAGTCTTTATCAACTGTATCCTCTCTTTATCCTCTAACACTTTGGGATATAAACAAAAGATATATATAAACAAAAGAACAAAAAGATTTTTGTGTGATTCCTATTTATCTTCCTGTTCATTTGAATTTGTAATAGTTTTGTTAATGAAACTTTCAAATTCATTCAGTGCGTTTTCTATTGAATATAGAAAGTGATTATATTTTCTTTTAATTCCTTTACCTAAAGAAGGCAACACTTTATGAAATCCAAGACATGGCACATACATACACACACACACACACACACACACACGAAATTTGTATATGTAAACCAATATTCTTAGAATCCTACAAATGGGGGAGGTTTACAATAGCTTATTAAAAGAATTAAGAATGAGAGTAATTTATATTCTTCAAAACCACACACATAAAAAAAGACGATCTTAGCCAGATAATCTGCATTTTAGGTTGCTTTAAAGAATGTTAGAAATTGGTTGGCTGGGTTCTGAAATTTCAAAAGATGTATACAGATTTTTAAATGAAAAAAAATTTTTTTTTTTTTGCAGTTTTTGGCCAGGGCGGGTTTGAACCCACCACCTCCAGCATATGGGGCCGGCACCCTACTCCTTTGAGGCACAGGTGCTGCCCAGATTTTTAAATGTATTTTATGGCAAAATTATATACACAGACTGAAACCCCAGCTTTTGAAAATTCCTAAGGATTTAATTTAACTAGTCATTTTTTGGCTAAAAAACCAATTTATACCTTTGTGAAAGTTTCCAAAAGGAAATTTTTATTATTTTAAAATACATATGAAATGAAAATAAATGTAAATAAAATAAAAAATAAATGTAATACATATACATTTACAAATACATATACATATACAAAAATAAATAAATACATATACAAATGAAAATAAATTTATTTCATAGGTACTTTTCTCCTTAGACCTAGGAGACTGAACATAATTGCTTCATGATTTAATAATTTGCTTAATAATATAGTATTATTATTTTGCGTCAGTCTGTAATACCAGTGGAGCCTTTTTTCTCCTAACATTTATTGAATACTTAATGTAAGGTATGCACTGCTCTAGGCCTCATATCAATATTGTTATGTGCTAAATAGAATTCAAGGTTTTAAATTGTTTGAATCTGTAGTTTCTCCCTTTGGCCACAATTTAGTGTAATGTTAAGAGTGTGAGTTTAGAACTATGCTGTTAAAATTTTTTTGTATCCTGGTTCTACTACTAGTTAAACATGTTATCATAATCACAATACCATTAAACACGTGAAAGAATAGTAATTTTTAACATCATGAAATGATTTTTTCAGTTGTATATAACCTTTTTTTGCCACAATTTTTGTAACTGTCATTGGGGCCAGTGATGTAACCTGCCTCGTAGGGTTGTTGTGAGGATTAAAAAGTATGCACGTAAAATGTTTGGATTAGCACCCGGCACATAATTCTCTATAAAGCGTCAATCGTTGCCACTACAGTCATACTGTCGTCACTGTGATTTGTCAATCCTGTAAACTGCTTGCCACATCTTCCCTTTAAATATCTTTAATCTGGGTAAGCCAGATTATCACCAAACCTGTTAGTATTAAGTACAAAATAAAAGTAAATTTACTGTATGGAACATGAGATTTCTCTGTGGAAAAGAATCAAACCAAACCAAAAGAATATGAATGCTGTGTGTGCCTTGGCATTACATTTTGGTGCTGAAAACTTTTTTTTTCTTTATTAGGCTATGATTATAAATGAAACTTGATAGTAAAGTTTATCTTAATAGGATTTATTTTTTTAGGGAAAAAGATCTTGAAGAAGCTCTAGAAGCAGGAGGTTGTGATCTTGAAACTTTGAGAAATATAATTCAAGGGAGACCACTGCCTGCTGATCTGAGGGCCAAAGTTTGGAAGGTAACTGGAAACTAAAATGAATAAAATATTAGTCACTTAATAAAAATATTTGTTTAATTTATTGTTTCAGCTGTTTTAGTTGTAGAGGACTTTTATGAGCAGGTCACATCTAGAAAATTTGTCAGATAGCAACTTATTAAAATGTATATTTCTGTAGTGTTTAGACAGGGGTGGGAACCTACCATCACATGTGGTCTTATAGGCCCATCAGTGTGGCCTTTTGACTGAATGTGAATTTTACAGAAAAAATCCTTTTATTTTTATTAATATATTTATATTCACCTTTTATATTTTTACACTTGATCTTAGCCAAAAGGCTGAGAAGTGATCACCTTTCATATATTTATTT